TGTTAAAAAGCAAATATGTCACTTTGAGGACTAAGGGGTGCCTGACCCAAGCCATGGTATTTTCAACTGCCTCATATGCATGCGAAAAATGGACAAAGAATAAGGAAGACCCAAGAATTGATGCCTTTGAATTATAGTGTTGTCGAAGAATATTGAATATACCATGGACTGCCAGAAGAACAAACAAGTCTATCCTGGAAGAAATACAGCTAGAATGCTCCTTAGAAGCGAGGATGGTGAGACTTCATCTCACATAGTTTGGACATGTTATCAGGAGGGTCCAGTCCCTGGAGAAGGACATCATGCTTGGTAAAGCAGAGAGTCAGCGAAAGAGAGGAAGACCCTCAACAAGATTAATTGACACTGCAACGATAGGCTCAAGCATAGCAACAATTCTGAGGATGACACACGACCAGGCACTGTTCCACCCTGTTGTACATAGGATCGCTATGAGTAGGAACAGACTCTACAGCACCTAACAACACAACAGCACTGAAACATGGTCCTTGAAAGGAGCAAGTTTCTCACCCCCTGATTATGTTTGTCCAGTTCTCAGTGACCACCTGATGAGGATGCAGTGAAAAGAATTTTGCATTTGTTGGGGTGGGGGGATGTGATGAGCATGGGTTAGCTTGCCTTCCCAAGTCCCTTCCAATTCTACATAATTCTATATGCTACATTCCTTCCTCATTGATGTCCTTAGGTAGCAAAAGCTAAGTTGAATATGCCAATGAATTGATGGCAACAGTTGGGGAGGGTATTAGAAGAAGGTTGGGAAGGTGGGGAGTTCACAGCGAGCTTGGGATACAGCTTCCTCCCAGAGGTGTCAGGACTGGAAGTGCCAGAGAGGAGCTCTGACCCCATGTCCTGGGATTCTTCCTCCTTAAAAGCAGTTTCTGAAGGTATCTTATTTTCTTTGTGCTGCTATAACAGAAATATCACAAGTGGGTGGCTTTAACAAACCGAAATTTCTTTTCTCACAGTTTAGGATGCTAGAAGTTTGAATTCAGGGCGTTGGCTCTAGGGGAAGGCTTTCTCTGTCCACTCTGGGGGAAAATCCTTGTCTGTTTCCTTGGTTCCTTGGTGATCTCCAGGTGACATCGATTTTGCTCCATTTGTGCTTGCTTCTGTGCCTAAATTGCTCCTTTTATATCTCAAAAATGATTGGCTGAAGACACACCTTACACTGATAAGGCCTCGTTAGCATAACAGAGAAAAACCTATTCGCAGATGGGATTATATCCGTATATATAGTGGTTACAATTTACAACACATATTTTGGGAGGACACAGCTTAATACATAACATTAGGCAGAGAAGAGAGGAAAAGAGACCCCAATAGAACAAATAGAGTCTGAAAAGCCTTCTCCTCAAGATGCTGAAACTCAATAGCGATGCATTATCAGGGAGGGTTATAAACAATGTGTGCAGGAGAAAAAGAGAGGAGATGACTATGGGGTAGGATCCTAGTCCAAAAACCCGTTGCCGTCAAGTCGATTCCGACTCATAGCGACCCCATAGCAGAGTAGAACTGCTGCATAGGATTTCCAAGGAGTGCCTCGTAGATTCAAACTGCCGACCTTTTGGTTAGCAGCCAAGCTCTTAACCACTGCACCACCAGGGTTTCCAAGCTCCTAGAGGATGGCATTATTTGGCTAGAAGGGGAGGGTGATAACAGGGCCATGGGGTGGGGCAAAGAAACAACATGTCTTGTGTGGGTGCCTCTGGCTGTGCAGTCATTGTCCTTACATGATTGTGGGCTAAGATGGGGAACGCCCTCCCCTCTTCAGGGCACTGGCTACCACTGGCCACCCAGGTCTCAGACAGTGCTCTGGAAGAAAAAGCATAAAGAAGTAACTTGGAGGCAAAATTGATCAGTGACTGAAAAGGAACTTCTCAAAGGAAGGAATCCTCAAACAGGTCAGAACTGAAGGAAGGGAAAGGGAATATGTGAGTCTGTAAGACTGGTAGCCTAGTGCAATAAAGAAAATCCTGAACGTGAGTCAGGAAACCAGGGTTCAAGTCTCAGCTCTGCCACTGTTTAGCTGTGGGATCCTGGGCAAGTTACTCTCCCTCTCTGGGCTCAGGGTTCTCCTGCATAAAAATCAGAGGTTGGACTTGATGATCTCTAAAGTCCCCTCTAGCTGGGTAGTCCCTGATGTTAACAATCTACACGCCAACCTAGTTAATTTTAGCTAGGACATCATTATTTTTTTGAGTCAGAAAACGATCCTATGACTATGTTTATGTTTTTGTGCTTTCCTTGGGTAATGTCATCTTTGTCTTCCGGTAATGTTTTAGTGTCATTCCTTTGTAAAACCCAACCTATCTCTTCCGAACTTGAACAGGAAAGGGAAGGGATTTTGCCTCTGCATGGGCAAAAGGATGGTGGCAAGTAGGATGGCCATCCATTTTGGTTTGCCAGGGACTGACGGATTTCCCGGGACAAGGGGCTTTCAGTTTTAAAACCTGAACAGTCTGTAGGTCTGGAGGTGGCTTTGAGGCAAGGTCCCTGAAAGGGCTCTTCTCCTGTTCCCTTTGTACCTGGAGTTTCCCCCATGACCCTGCTGACTTGTCTGGTGGTTTTCTATTACAAAGTGTGAGTCCCTTATTGGGAGACTGGTGGGGGGACAGGGACAGGGAAGAGAAATGAGGGGCAGCCTTTAAACTAATCACAAGCCCCAAGTGAGACAACTATTGCCAGGAAAGAAGCTGAAATGCTTGACTAGCACTGATACTGTGGGGATTTTCCCTTTTTCTTCAAAAAAACAGAAAAGACCCAGTGGAGAAAAAAAAAAAGTGATGAGTTGTGAGACAGACAGCGGCCCTACGCAGCACCAGGAGACAAGGTGCCGCTCATTTGTTTAAATTTGCAGTTGGCGGCTGCCACCTCTCTATAGGCACCAGGCGGAGAGCCTCTCACCATCAGACAGTGACCAGTCTGGTGATGCACAGTCGCAGCCATGAACTACGCCTTAACCTTGGACATGGACCTCACAAACTACAACCTGGAAGACATGGTGAGTAAGGGACAAGCAGCTCCTGGTCACCCAGGCCCTGCTTGGAATTCTAAATACTCTGTGCCCAGGGCTCAAGGGAGAGGGGACAGCCTTGGAGTCCCCATCCCCTGTGGATCTGTAGAGTCTAGACAGGCCCATTGGCACCTGCCTTTTAGGACCTTATTTCCCATTCCATGGAGGAAGCGGATAGGCAGAGATGTTGCCCTTAATAGACATCCTTTAGAGGGGGTTGGAAGATAAGGGTCCTGTATCCTCCACTGACTTGCTGTGTGACCTGAAACAAGTCACTTTACCTTTCCATTCTTTAGTAGGGGATCCTCTTCTTATCTCTTAGGGTTGGAATAAGGGACTAGACAAGAAAGTACTTTGGAGGTTTTCTTAATGTCAGGAGGCTGGCATTGACAAGATAGATATCAATCACCACATATTTATTCATCTCTTCCTCTATGATTATAACATCAGGGCATTACATTCTGTGTTGGATGGAGAAGTTGAGGACTTGCCTTCAAACATCTCATAGTTTAGCCAAGAAAAGAAAAATATCACTCACTGGAAGTTATTAGACAATGGTTATATGCTAAATTGAGGAACTGCGAGGTCAGGTAGCCAGCAAAGGGAGAGGGGCTCCAGAGGACTGGAGTCGGGAGGTGGGTGCCAGGTTGGTGAGAGAACCTCTGACTCTGTATTAATCCAAAAAATGTCCTAAAGCATGTTGTGGCCTCACTCAAAGGGCTGAAATCGCTGGAGATAAGATTTTGGAGGGGTTTGCTTGGGTAGGCTAAGAAGATGGTCCCCAGCACCACTCTCTACCACCCACCCAAGTTTCTCCAGTGAAGCAGAGCAGTTAGTTTGGCTTGGTTGTCACTGGGCTCCCGAAGGATGTGTGTGGGTACAGCGCAACCAGAGACCCCCAGGGTTCCTTTGGTGCAGGCAGCAGACCCACAGGGTCTCTTGGAAACTTCTTCATGATCTTTTCTCCCTTTCCCCCATTGCCAAGAGCACTTCTGGGAAAAGGACGTCTCTCTGAGCTGTATTCTGGGCTAGATCATGAAGGACCTACTGTCCTCTCTTCTGTACCCACCAGCTGTCCTGACCCTAAGCTCACCCTGAGGTGTTCTCCGACCCCTTCAGCTCCCCTGCTAGAGTCTAATATTGTAACTCCACCAGCTGTGTTCTCAAGTTGCTTGGGAAAGCCTGCCTCTCACTTGTTCAGGTCCCAAGGCTCGGAAGCGTAAGTAGAACATGGGGAGGAGGTGAGAAGAAGGGCTAATTATCCCCCAGTCTGTCCTCTCAAATCTAGCCTCCAGTTAAAGCAGAGCCAGAACCATGAGTCTAATCAGGACTAGCTATGTAGTTTGAGGGACTCACTGCAAAATGAAAATCTCAGAGTCCCTTGTTCAAGAATTATTAAAAATTTCAAGATGACGGTAGCAGAGAACTAAACCCCATGGGGCCTTTCTAAGCTCAGGGCCCTGCGTGACATAGGCCCCACACCTGCGAAGCCAGCCCTGAGTCTAATTACAGAGTCTGGGCAATACCCCAAATCAGACTGAAACCCCACTGCACCAACAAAGCAGAATGTCCCCAACCTGGCCGCCAAGTCTTGGCTCCTGGCCTCACTTGATTAGGTTACTGGGTGTCTTCCTGTGTCCGTGGCTTCAAGCTGACCACAAGCCCTGACCCACTTGGATATCACAATAACCAGCCTGAGATCTAGCTGGTCCTGGCTTCTGACAAACCTCAAGGATTTCCCCTACTGCCCGTCTCACTTCACTCGTGACCTACTGGGGACTTGTGGTGGCGGGGCCAAGAGGACAGCAAGCAGGGCACAGCCCATATCACAAAGAAAATCTATAGTGCAGTGAAGAGGCCTGGAGACTTACTTCATGTCACACCTCAAATAGGTGGTCCTTAGCTGGGTATCCATGCATGCCTGGATACCTCAATCAGGGTCTAGCCAGGAATCCAGGAGCCCTGGGGCCATCTGGACTCTGGAGCTTTTCTTCAGCCAGCTCCCAGTGCCTTCTCTTGCCTCTACCTGCCTCCTCCAGGGCTGTTGCCCCTCAGAAGCACAGATCCTGTCCCTCCACCCCACCCTACTCACATCGGGATTGGGCTCCCCTTCAGTGTCTCACAGCACAGAGGCCCTGGAATGGTTTGGCTCATGAATGGCAGCGTAAGCAAAAGAGCCTTGTACATAGCAGCTTCTCAGTAAGTGTTTACTGACTTGTAATACCTTAAAGGCCTTACCTCACCATTCCTCTCTGGAGTTATTCTAGCTTCTTCCATTTCTTTTGTTTCCAGTTTCCCTCTCTATCCTTGTCTAAAACAAGTACTAGTTCATTTTCCTAGAGCACTGGGTTCTACACTCCAATGCTGGGTTAAGAACTGGGAGCTCTTGGCCGTAAGTCAAGTGTTGGTCATCCTATCGTCTCTTCCCTCTTCCTTGTCTTGAAATCTAAGATCAACTCTAGCTGCTTAAGTGCTCATTTTCTTAAGGTGGACTGCTAAATTCCATAAATGGAGGATCCAAACACAAAAAATCTTGTGCTAGGAACAAGAAAGAGCCAGGTCCTGGGGTAGGCATGCCAGGGACCTATCCTGCTGGGAGGGCATATCTAGGCAGACCTAGGGAGCCCCTCTATACAGGAACCTTGAGCTGGGAGTATGGAACCTCTTCCCAACAGAACCTGACTAGGGCACCTAGAGAAGCCAGTCATAAGCTACACCTCCAGCCCAACTCTGCACACCAGCCAGGAGGAGAAGCTGCTATAGCGCAGGACAACGGCCTGGCTGGTTGGTCCAAGCCTCAGGGTACACTGGCTTCCCCGGACCTCTCCCCAGTGATGATCACCACAAACCATGACTTAAGTGTGTCCAGAGCATCACAAGCTGCAATGCCTGTTCACACGCACTGTCTCATTTCATCAAGGTGGTATGAAGAAGAGGAACCAAAACTTGTTCAGGCTGGCTCTGGACTTTACCTTGGGGGAGGGGAGGATCCCCATTACCACCACTAGGTCAAAAGTCCCAGAGGAACCCCGGTGGAGAAGGCTCTAACTGCGGGTGGTTGGAGGGGTCAGAGATGAGGGAGAGGTCCAGGGCCAGCCTGGAGAATGGGTCAGTGTTGGGGCAACTCTGAGCTCAGGCACACAGACTGCAGAGTTTTCATCGGAAATGGCACCTTCTTTGATGATGCAGACTGTGGCTGATCCCATTCCTCTGGCAGAATAACATAAAAGTGACTATGGATTTGGAACAGAGAATCAGGACACAAGACTGAGTGCTCTTTCAGGAATGGTGGGACATAATATTGAAATCAGTATTATCCCAAGCAATTGGCTTTAGGTGGTTGCTATATACACCTAGGAGGCATGTCTACCTGTCCCTAGGACTGTGTGACTCTGTCCCCAAAGTGCAAATAGATTTTAGGGTGCCAGGTGGGAGCCCCTTAAACCTAAAGACACAGTGCAGAGATGGGGGTAGCCTAAAACATCCCCCCCAGAATCACATCCAGAGCAGTACCGTGTTCCTATTGGCCAAAACCCCCTGAGCAGAGATGGAACAGGAGTCTGGAAGGTTTATTCCTGAAGGGTAGGGGTGGTAGAGGGAGGAAGAGGTGATAAATGGCATGCGAGTCTCAGATGGTCTTTAGGGAGTGAGGGCCCTTTGAGGGAAGCGTGCAGTAAGGGATACAGATCTACACCCTCCCCCTTAGCCCATTCTCTTTCCTCCAACCCCTGCACCCCTCAAGCCACTGAAAGCTGGAATGAGAGACGCCCTGGCCTACTCCACTCCAGCGCCTGACTCTTGGCTGGGAATATCCAGATAGGGACATAAAAGGAGATGGAACCTGTG